ACTCTTTCTGTTTCTCCTGGCAGACCACTGAATCCAGGGTGAACTTTGTCGTCTTGAGGCAGCCAGGCGTACAGCTGTCGGACCCGGTAGAGGACAGCAGCACATCAAATAACAGCAGCAGCAGCAGTAGCAATGGAGGAAGCCCGGTGCACCATCGGAGACGACTAGACCAGAATCACTATAGACGAAAATCTAATTATCAGAAGGTAAGTTTTGTAAATAACGACAAAAGCGCTGGTTATTCTTGGTCTAGCAGATGTATTATGTTTGCTCCGTGATGGCAATTTATCATCTAAGACCAATCAGTAGCTCCGTTTCTTCTTGATCTATTGGAAAGCAGCAGGTCTGTGGCTTTTGGTACTCGAGAACCATACACTGGTCACCTACTGGGAAACACAGTTCTTGGGGAAAAACGTGTCACAATTCCGTTAAATGTCTCTAGCATTTATGCAGAATGAGTGTGTAATCCTTTCTTGTCTGGGAAGGGCAACGGGAAATTTGCCATCCGTGGGACGCTGGGGACTCGCTTCTCAACATCCATCAAGCACATTCAGGGTATTACACAATGACATGAAGTTACGCTTCTGGTTTGGAGCTAGAGGGCTTTGTGGTGCAAAAGTAGAAAGTACACAAATTACACTGTGCTCCTGTGACTTGGTGTTGCATCGGCCATCTGTGTGCATATTGTAAGGAACAGCAGGAGCAAGAGGAGAATCGCCAGTCTGTTGTACCAAGAGAGATTTGCTCTATGTTTAGAACTTCCATTTGAGTGAGAAAACTTGCTACAACTGCTTCGACTTTTGTGTTCAAGTGTCTCTGGAGTTTATTAAGTAGCTGTCATAAATGGTTGGAGTGTGGTTCCTCAATTTAAATCCTAGAATACCATTTATTGTTTCTACAGCATACACCGTAATGTATGCTTTCACTACAACCTAAACATTTAGTAGTAGAGAGAGGTTGATTGCTTCATATGAATGGCCTTGAAATGAGTCCATAGCTTGTTCCTCAGTGCAAAGTTGTTCTCCTCAGAGTGAGCATCTCTTTACAGGAGATGAATGTAGGATCATTAGGAGAGCAGTGCTTCAGTCGTGGTGGTACCACTTCGGAAATACGGGGTAGCATTTCTACCAGAGCAAGTACACGAGAAGCTGACTTTGCCATCCAGCAGCATTGCTGAAATGTTCTAGATTAAAGATGCAAGATGTTCTGTTATTTTTTTCCAGATCTGGGCTTCTCATGTTAATTGCCTTAATGAAGCTGCATTTTGTACTGTCATTCCTTTGCAGGATTTACCTCAGGGATATGTAAGTCATGAAAAGACAGTTGCAATAAAAAAAGAACCAAAGGAATCTTTAGGAATTACAATTGGAGGCGGAAGGGATAACAAAAACAAGCTCCCTATATATGTAACGAGTGTGCAGCCCATCGGATGCCTCTTCAGGGATGGCAGAATCAAGCGAGGTAAGGAGGCTCTCAGATTCTTTATCCTTTAGGAACTGGGTTGGGTTTTTTTTAATGGGAGCTGGACTTGGACACTAAGTGAGGTTGGAACCAGGATTCCACTTGAGACCTTGAGGCAGAAATGGGCATTATAGCAAAAGGTGTGTAATAATCCTATCTTATTTAATCAACAGGAGACGTACTTTTGAGCATAAATGGCATTGATTTGTCTCATCTGAACTACTATGAAGCTGTCTCAGCACTGAAATCTAATGCAGCTTCCCACTCAGTCATACTGAAAGCCTTGGAAATCCTTTCACTGAACTCGACAGAGCCATCTCTGGACATCAAGGAGCAAGGATTCAGCTGGTCTCCTCTCTGGATCACATGGCTTGGATTGCCTAGGTACGTTTGTTCCGTGACTGTACAGAGAACTGTTCAATCACAGAGTTGACTTTCACTTAAATATGAGGAATTAATTGTTGTTTTGTTGGTTGACTTGGGAGCATTACTGGTATTCTCATTTAGCTCTAAGGCAGTGGAAAGCCTTATTTGTCAGTGAGATCACAGTATAATGAATGCATAAGAAACTTGCACTGCTTTTTATAGTGTGACCCATCGTTCCCCCACTTCTGCTGGACAGTAACCATATTTCAGAAGTTCCTGAAAACCTTTTTTTCCTAACAGAACTGACACAGAAAATAAGAAGTATAGATTCTGGCATTTGAGGCACTGAGCTGACCTACAATCAACATAGATATGGTCTCTGCTAAAATATCATTAACTGAAATGTGGCTCTTTCTGGATCGCATAACAGAAGCCAACAGACACCTGTGCTGTTTTACAGTTTCTGATCTGATCATCTCAGTTAGGGGCAGGCATTCTTTCAGTCTGATTCTTTTTGGCTGTTGTAGTTGTGTCATCTTTAGCATGAAGCAGAAATGATTCTGAATAGTTGAGTTTTCCTGCTGCAAAGCTTTGGACTGTAGGCTTAGCACAGATTTTTAGCAGCAACGTGGTAAGTTCCAGATGACAGGGTTGGGGCTTTGAAAGCTTGAATTTCTGTCTCCTTCCTGGAGCAGTGAACCTCTGGTTTGCTCACTTTTGCAGTTTCATCAAAATACATTCAGCTGTGAAAGGTAGTCTGTTGTCATTCCAGCTGGCTGGAGGAGGAGGAGGATCATGAGGAGATGCACGTGGAACAGTAAAGCCAAACCCTTCTGTGGGAAGCTCGGATTATTTCTTGAGGCACCTGAAAGAAGAAATACTAACAAAGCCTCTGTTACGTTCCCTTTGTGTTACTTAGCAGCCTGTAAATGCTAAACAAACAACCCAAGGAAGGTAGCTTTTGTGTCTTGAGCGGCTGTAACTTGGCTTGTACTCAGCACCATCCTACCAGTTTCCTTTGCTCTCCCCAGGGAATCGGCCTGTCTGTTCTGTGCAGGCCTAGTACGAACTAGCCTGGGCTGCACCTGGGTAGCCCAAACCTGACACAAACCCTCAGGTGCTGGCTGGAGTTTGTTCCTCATGGGTGCTCCTGCAGTGAAGTATAGCAAGGCAAAACCTGGCTGTACTTTCTCCCTTCTTCCTTTTCCAATTTATTTGGATGTCTGGTAGCTAGCAGCTTCAACGCTCTTTGTGCTACAGGGGCTGGAGTTCACTCTTCACTCATTGGCCACCTGCCTTCATTTCAAGAGCATGCTGACTTCACCTGCCACTTAATACATTGCTCGAAATTCTGCTGCTGGTATGAATGTTGGCTCCCCTTCATTTGCCTGGTACTGTACTGAAGCAAGGAGCAATGATTTCAGACACCCTTTCTGCTTTTCAGTCTCCCTTTCTCACTCTGACCTGAATTCGGGCATCTGAATTCATCTGCCATTCTTCTGTGGATGGGAGGGTGCTTAGGAGGTGCAAAGCAAGGTTACGTCATTTTAGGATCTGACAAAATCTTGTTTTCAGCAGTAAAAATGGCTGTAATTCTTGTGCTTCCTCACTCATTTTCCCATCCATTCATAGTAAGATCTGGTCGCAATTAGCTCGTCGTCCACAGAGTGAATGATTTCCCTAAAGCCACTAAGAATCTGCCTTTTTTCAGCTAAGCAAGGTATTTATATTTGTCATTGTAGCTGGCACGATCAGATAGTTTTTAATCCATAAACTGAAATAGGCATCCTTGTTTGTCACCTGGAAATGTTCAGTGTGCCTCTACACTAGCATTTGACTTTGGCTCAGGAACATGCTGCTGAAGCGAGAATCCCAGCTGTCCTCACTTGCTGTTTTTAGTTCACTTTGCAGAGAAGTCTTGACCTGCACAAATTGGGATCCTTTTGTATGGGACTAAACCAGAAGCGCTGCAGAGGAATGCCCATTGTACCACACTAACACTAGATTACAGAAAATCCCCTGAAACGTACCAAAACCAGACCTCGTGTCCTCCGCACCGGTTGTTTCGCTCGGATCTGTTCCTTTTGGGCTGCCCTGCTAAAGCAGACGTAGCTTCAGTATGCTAAAACGTTCTGCAGTAGTGTGAAAGTTTAAAGCTTCTTGCTGATGGCATGTGTGATTTCGGTTTTGTTCAGCTTTTATTTTCTAGTTAGTACTACGATCCACCAGAAATACCCTTTCCTCCTTAGAGGGAACCCATGTATTTCAGTCTGAAGCTGAACTTTATGCTGAAAGACTGGCGTTGGAAGTTAGTGCTCAAGGCTAGGGAAGTGCATTCAGTCGTTGCCACGCTTGAGCTCACGCTGTTTAATTCTAGCTTTGATTCTTGTATCTGTGGCTTTCTGTTTATGTCACATACCGTCTGTCACCTCGGCACACTGGGTAATCTGCTGCTTCTGGAATGTGGGGCCCCTGTAGCCCATCCTGCAGAACTTGGGTTACGTGCCAGGCTACTGCTGCGCAAAGGTTTTAGGAGTGAGATGACAGCCCTGGTCCTGTGCCTTTCTGGGGACCCTGGCTAATAATGTGAGCATCTTGGTCACATTCTTCCTGAAAGAAAAGCGCTCTGTGCGCCTAAGGCTACTTTCACACCGCAGCATTCGGTGTGTAACCTCGGAGCACCTTTCCCCTCTGACTATGGCCAGCACTGCACACTTCCAACAAAGACACAAACATCCCCATAAGAGGGAGAGTGTAGTAATATTTTTTCCATCTAACCTCCGGCAACTAGTATCGGCTGTACCGAACCAGGTGGCTGGCATCTTTCTTGGATACAGCTGTGGGTAGCTCTACTGCCCTTGTAAACTTAACTCCTCCATTCTTTGCTTTATTACTAATGGTGGCGGTGAGTGTTCCAAGCTAATTGTATGCTGCTACTAATTGCTACTGAATGTTTATCATCATCACTGCATGTGTCACAGAAGACAGCATATGAACTTTACTTGATTTTTTTTCGTAGTATGTTAAATCCATACCAGCTACCGACAGTATAAAATACTGTCTCAAAATGCTGGTTTGGAGGGTGTGTCCGTCCTAAGTCATTGCACACTGAATCCTAAAGATACTAGAAATACCAAGTTTACAGATTTATCTTTTTTCTGTAAAAGCCTTGACACTTGAAAACCGTAACCATGCACAGTGTGGCTTCTGGATAATTCTTGGGGGGGGGGGGGTAGAAAAGCAGTTTTCCTCCTGCCTTCTTCCTTGAGGTTTATCTGAAGCCAGTGAAGCCTGAGTTCTTTCTGCCACAACTGTTCGGTGTTCCCTGCCACGGCCCCACTGGAGTAGCGCGCTCCACGAACTCTGGAAGGGATGCGAACTGCAAACTCAGCAGCGTGTTTGCCAGAATAAAACTTGGACTTTTACTTTCTGTAAAGTCTAAAATTCTTTTCCCATAGTGATTTGCCATTATAGTAAATTAATGTTTCTCTTCCCCAAACCCCTTTTTCCTATGGAAAACTGATTTCTAGCAAACAGCCTTTTCCGACTCCTGGAGAATGTGTCTAAAGTTTTTATTTATGTTCTATGCTGACATAGTGCTTACTGCTCTTGCTCTCTGGGCTACCTGTATTTGCACTACCTGCCACATACGTTTCTCATAACTGTTTTCACAGTTGCGTGGTACCAGTAGAAGAAAACCATGGAGGCTTCAGTAAGCTAGGGCTGGGTCTTCCAGCGTTTATGTGCGAAGAACTTGTACAAAAGTAAATTACAGTTTGAAAGTAGATAATTGGATTTTTCTCCTAGTGAGAAGTTAACTGAGAAGGCTTTTGAAATCTGAAACTCATCTGCAAACTTCTCAAGCAAAGCCCTTGAGGCAAAAACATTTATTAGGAAAAGTTTAGCTGCTGGAACACCTCAGTGTGGTGATCAGCGGCAGTTTCACACAGTGTAGCCCTGGCAGTGCCTCCGTGCCAGAATGTAACCTGACCGCGAGCCAGAGTACACGAGATGCTTGCCCGCGCTCCTGCCACACCTTTTCAGATGCCTTGCAAAGGCTTTGCACGTCTTCGTGCTACAAACTCAAGGAGCAAGTGCTGTTAGCACTTATATATCACATTCTCCAAGGCAGCCCTATCGTTGCAGTGTACCCCAGGCTTACTGAGAAGACACCTTGGTGGCTGGCATTCATAAGTGGCCTGTGATCTCTCTCCGAGGAATCCAGCATCTTACTATATGCAGGAGTCCTGGGTGTGGGTCCTGCAGGAAAGACCTTTCCTATTCTGATTTGGTAGTTAGTAGAAGAAAGGCTGCCCTACCTTCTATGTTTGCTTTCCATCAGTGATACGTAGCTGCAGAATGCCTTCATTGTACCAGGTGTGTAACATACAGATGGAATTAAAAAAAGCTTGAGCCTCATTAATTGCATGGGTGTAACTGCTGTTCAGGATTAATTTGGTTTTTGTCACTAGTACTGTGCGTGGTGCTTAGTAGAATTCACGAAGTTACTAATGAATCAATCCTTCAGGTCAGAGACCCCTTCAGAGAATGGTGATTTTCAACTCTTGAACTAGCACTAACACTACTGAGAAAAGATTTCTAAAGGATTGGCATCTTCAGATTTGAGAATTAGCCCTACAATATGCCCTGCAAAGGGGTTGCTTCAAGTCCTTAAAAAAAAGAAAATAAATATGAAGCTGTTACAAAGCTGCGCTTTTCCGCAAGGGAAAAGATAATTTTCTGGTTGGGTGGTTTTCCTTGAAACACACTCATAAGCTTTTTCTGGTTTTGACCATGCCTGTTTGCTTTCACAGCTACCTTCATTGCTGTCAAGACATTGTCCTTAGTAAAGGCAACCTGGAAAGCTGGGGCTTCAGCATTGTTGGAGGCTTTGAGGAAAGCAAAGGAAACCAGCCATTCTTCATCAAAACCATCGTGCCTGGGACTCCTGCCTTCCGAGACAGGAAACTGAAGTACGTATGCGCTGCCCTGCGGGGTGCTTACACACGGGTCCTTATGTCAGGATGCACTGTCTTACCGAGGCGCTGTCTTTTACCCTTTTAACTATTCGAGCTAAAAGTTAATGACTTCTAATTCTTAAGATACTCATTTATGCGGTTAATACTGTTACCAAAGATGTAACAAACTTTTGGTTTCTCTATAAAGGTGCAACTAAAAGGAATTAACGGTTATGTTTTAAAAGGCTGTAAAGGTTTTAATTGAATAACCAGATAAAAGTGGAAAGGGGATGTTTGAGCTGAAGCTTGGAGGTTCCAAAGTATAAAATCTCCTGGATTAGGACTGAATGGAAGCAACAAAAGCTCTCCTGTGCAGGAAACTTAGAATGAGCCTTGCTGATCTGTTTGTTAGTGAGCGGAGGCGTGAATAGTGGAGCCAGAGGACCACACAGAACCTTCTTGCAGTGTTCTCTCTGGGAACCAGCAGAGCTGGCTTCTCAGCAAGCATGCAGCAGGCTGCAAGTGCGGGACTGTTAGCCCCCCCCCCCCCCCCCCAAAAAAAAACCCAAAACCGAAAAAAACCCAACCCAAACAAACAAAAAAACCCCCAGAGGTGAGGCTGCTGTCTTGCAGGGGACATAGTTTCAGTGGTGGGAGTTGGGCTTTGCTCCCCTGAAAACAGGGTCAGAGCCTTGGTGGAAGGACTGGGGTCAGCTGGGTTCCTATCTGAGCGCTGGGACAGCAATGCGCTTTCCCCATTAGACCCAAGGGAGGTGGCTGGCTGGCTTCAGCACCTCCCATCACCACAGCTGAATGGTACAACCACTCAAGATAGCTGGGTGTGCCATGGAGGTGGGCAGGGCAGGCAGGACTCTGAAACCTCTTTTGTATTGAGCTGCAACGTGACGGCACGCTTCAGCGTTGTGTGTACTTCACCTTAGTGACTGCTAGGCAAATAGCTGTAGGAACGACCTTGGTGATGAGTGTTTATCAGTGCAAATTTGCTTTCCATAACTTCTCCCTCTGCTGATTGGCCAGCTGGTCACGCTGCTGGTGACCTTCATGGCTGTGTCACTCTGGTACCAGCATGGTCCTTCTTTTCCCTTGCCCTCTTGACTCAGAAGCAAGCCTCTGACTGCAACCACTCGCTCTGCTCACGTCCATTCCTTGCCCCTAATCTTTCATCTAGTGGAAAAAGTGGTTTCAACAGAGTTGAGTTGATGATTTTCGCTCAGGGTGGGCTAGATGACCTTGGGGGTCCTAGGATGCAGTGTTAATGATAATTAACCAAGTCCTGATAAGCATGTTTCCTGTCTTCTGATTAGGTGTGGAGATGAAATAGTGGCAGTAAACGGAGTGCCGGCGATAGGAATGAGCAACTCAGAACTAATCCCAATGCTGAAGGAGCAAAGGAACAAAGTCACGCTTACTGTGGTGTCCTGGCCGGGAAGCCTCGTGTGAAAGCTCAAACAAAATAAGCAACAGTTTCAGGTATCAGATACCAGTTGGCCATCACACAAAGCTAAACACGTGCCAGACAAACCAAAGGAACGCTGAACTCGTGCTACACAGTGTATTGCCATGGAAGGCTTCTAGCTTCCTTTTTGGAGAAAACATTTCTTTACTGTGCTGAGGTTATCAACAAATCTGGTTGCTGGATTCAAACTAATGGTTGATCTGAACAGTTGTAGCTTCCTGGGCTCATTACAGCCCTTCAGAATCGGCGTTGCAGAGAAAGCTCTTTTTCCAGCGCTTCTCTGCAAATTGCCTTTGAGGCGCTTTCCTCAGTTTTAGAGCTCTGCTTTCCACTTAGTATTTTGAACAGGTTAAAACAGCCACGACTGTCCCATTTCCCCTGCTAGTTTAATACAGTTCTGCTGATTGCTGACTGCCATTCTTAGACACTGAGTCATTTTATACGTGCTTTTAAAAGCCACTAATAAAACTGTAAAGATGTGGATCCAATTTAGCAGTTCCTGTAGCCCCCAGTCTTGATATATTTTGCTTACTGAAACCTAATGAATGTGTTTATACTCTCAGCTGAAGAGCTGCTGGGTTAGCATGGTGGAGCTGTGTTGACTTGTATGAAGGTCCTATCACCAGGTAGCTGTCGCAAATCATGATTTAGGATCCTGCCACCTATGCCAATTTGTTGCCAATAGGTGATTTAGACTACTTGAAGAACCACTGTCAAAGGTATCAGCAAAGGTGGTTTCACTGAAATACAATGTTATAGAAGTAGGACTTAGAGTTCAGTAGCCAGGTTCACTCTTACTTACTGCACAAAGGATGTAACAATGATTCAGAACTACCAAGACACAAATCAAAGTGACCATAATACAAGGTTATGCGTGATACCGGGCGCTCACCAAAGATCTGCAGTTGGTGAGAGGTGTCTCAGCCTTGAGAAGCAACCTAGAGAGGTGTCCCTGCTCAAGGGGAGATCACCGCCACGCAGCCAGCTGCTTAGCAGGGAGAGCTCAAAGAAGGCTCGCTTAGGCTGTCATATTTATGGAATAAAGTGGTTGGCTTATAGTCAACTTAAATGTGATGGAAGAGGTATGGATGAGACTCCTTGTACACACCTTTCTTTGTTCCTCGATAAACACGTCGTGGAAAAGCCACATGCTATTCATGTGTTAATTGCATGATGGCTGTTCCAAGCTCACAGACAGGGATGCTCACACTGTCACTGCTCCTTTTGTGGGTTTTCACAGAACAGATTGGAACCAGAGAAGTTCCTGGCTGGGCTATGGCTTCAGGCCTTTACCTCCTTTGAAGCCTACACCAAACTACCGCTAGTTCGGTTAAGGAGTTGAGTGCATCCATCACAGTAACCAGAGAGAAGGAATCTGTTAAATTTTCCTCCCCTTCCTCAGCTTGGTTTCCTTGGTTTTATGATGTAATAAAATGATCAGCTTTTCCCACAGAAATTAGATAGTAAGTAACAGGTTTGTTACAAGAGACCTCTGTCCCAGGATGCTGTCTTATATTTTTGCCAGTTTCCCAGTGCTCAGATGCAGAATTAAGGCAGGGGCAGGAGGATGTACCTGACACAGGCATGCGAGATGAGCTCCTGCAGTCCTATTCACGTCCCTCTTGCAGCTGGAGCAAACTGTCAACTCGCTGGATCAGGGTAAGCTCAGAGGGTCGTTGGCTGCCTCGGCCACATCGTACCGACTGTATGAAATAAGCTACCTCCAGGACAGTGGGCCCAGTTTGGCTTCAGTTCAAACCCACTGTATAGTTAACAATTTAGAGTAAAAGAATTGACGCCAAGGCAGGTTGGTTTGACCTATGACGCCTACCTGCTAACTTCCTACCTGGAAACTCCACATAAAGCAGCACTTCCCTCCTTTATAGAAGGCTGTTAAGTCAGCAGTAGAAACATCAGATCTTTCAAACCAGGTTGCAGTGAGGGATCTTTCCTCTTAGGCTGCTTCTGCTGTACCTTTTATGGGGCCAGCTCAGATTTTAAGAATGAAAGGAGTTTCTCTCCCCTGTAAAATGCTACCCAGAACGAATGCTGAATTCCTTGTAGTAAACTGACTGCAGGTAAGTGCCCATCATTGTCTTAAGAGGTGCTTTTTCTTAGGGCTGGCTACATCATAATTAGCTATTGCTGCAGAGTAGAATTGGTCCTTGCTAGGTGACTTAGTCGTTGACGCACAGAGTGACTTCACTTCCTTGGGCTGTTAGCTTAAGGCCGTAGTGAGCAGGGCCTGTTATCAGAGTCTATTATACAGAATTAGCTTAGGATCCCATCGTCACAAAAGCTTCCCTGGCACACGGTGTGGCCTCTTTGTTTGGCTGACAAATACTGCTCTGGACTTCAACAGCAGAAACAGTGTGTGGCCAGCTGGGCTCTGGGGCCTTTTTTTTTTTTCCCCCCCCCTGTTGTTCCTACTGAATGCTGAGAACAAAATAATTCAGAAGTCAGAAAGGTGCCCGTGGAAACCTAGTGGCTCAACTGCCATCTGACACAAAGGAACAGAAGAACCTGAAGCAATTTTTGTCTCTTTCCAATCACTGTGCAGAATCTGTGCCTGGTATGGAGAAGTAAATACTTACGTAGATAGAGAGGGCGATTCCTACTGAGTAGTACCAAATATCACTTTGTATGAAGTACAGTAGGAGACAGCCACACAGCTGGTGGTCAGGCAGTAAGCAAAGAGGGCGTTGCAGAAGGCAGCGTGGTTTTTGCTATTACTCCATCTCCTTTCAAGGTGCCTTCAACTTCACCAAAATCTCCTAGTAATTTAAGTACTGTTTCCAAGATCAGCTTGTTAATAATGTTGAATTTGTTTTGATGCCTTTATAAATTATTGTAATATTACTGAAAAACACTTATTATAGGTGTGTTTTTAACCTTTCTTTCCAATGTATGAGGCAATACCCCCAGAATAGGTCACCTCAACAGACACTTCTCCAAGGAACTGACCCTGTGAGGCTGGAAACAGTGTAATTGCCTTCTGCTCCTCCCAGGACAGGAGCTGGAGAAAGGAGCTGTACATGCTATGGCTGTGACTGGGGGAAAAAAAACAAACAAAAGTAAATCCCCCACACCCCCCAGTCTACCCCTGCTGCTGGATGCGAGGCTGGACACAGCCCAGTAGCGCCTGTGGGGCTCAGAATTGACTGGACTGAAAAGCTAACCCAGGGAATAAATAAAGCTTTATTTAACGAGGCTTAACTCCCCCATTAGGCGTGCTGCACAGCTCAGCAACTGAGAGGCAACGCTGGGGCTGCCGCTCCCAGAGGAATTACATGTCCAGGCTGAGAACTGTGTTAGGTTTTGGTGTGATTTCTACTACTGCAGTGCAGGCAGCACAAACCATCCCTGACTGGAGTGGCAGCATCTGATGGTCTGGGGGAAAAAACATCCTTACCCTTAACCGTAAGCTGCACAACTCTAATGCAGTTGGCCTCTCTCCTCCTTAAGGCCGTGCCCGTTTCATGGAGCTGAAGGGCCCGCCCGAGGCTCCCCGAGATGCCTTACACCCGCTCTCCCCACTGAGCTGGCTGGCACTTGCGTAGTGAGACTTGTCTAAGTGCTCATCTCTGGCAGTGAAGTTCACCCTCTCAGCACTACTTGGCACCTGGGGTGTTCTGTGCTCAGCTTCTCCTCTCCAGCTTTGGTCCAGTACAGGTACTGATGCCACCAGCCCAAGAACTGGCCTCTTCTCCAAGAATGACTAGAGTCACCATTCAGTTCCCCAGGGAACACAACCATGAACCCTGCAGTAGTTCCCTGATATAAGTAAAGATTATTTCCAAAGCCCCACCTTTAGACTTCTCTAATACATTAAAGGCAAACATTTCATCTCTATTTCATTAAAACAAAACCATCTCAAACGATTTCCCTTGAATTCACAGCTGCTTCTGGCAGCGGAAGCCTCCTAACGTCAGTGAAGGACTTGGGTCCATCTGTCAAAACATTCAGAAAACCTAAGAGGAAGTTGCAGCACTGACCCCCCCATAGGAGGTTCTGCCTCCCCTGTCCCCCAACACCATCCATAACCCCAGGCACAGGGGGACACCAACCAGCTGTGATCACCATTAATTAGGCCTACTTAGTGAGTAGCTCCTGTCACCTCCACAGAGCAAGAGACTAGGGGAGTGGGTGTATAACAGCTCCAGCCACCCAGAGAGAGGCACCACGTACACCTCATGCAAAACCAGAAGATAGATGCTGACTGGGGGCCAAACCCTAGACTTGCCTTCGTGTAAAACTCTATTGCCAGCATTTTCCCCTGATTCAAGACAGGCAAAAACCAGCTCAGACTGCTCTGGGGGCACTGCCTGGCCTCTCCTTTGGTGCTAGCTGCCCTAGCAATTTCAGAGTTCATCTTCTGGAAAAAAAAACCCAAAAAACAAAAAACCCAACTGGATTTCTTAATTCCAGAATACAGGCTTTTTATGGTGGCAGAGGCAAGGATGCTTGGCCTCTCTCCCAGGTCATGCAAGCGAGCCTGCACTCTGGAAGTGGAGGGCGGGCACGTTTGTCACTGCGCCACAGGCGAGCATGTTTCCAGGGGACATGTACCAAGCACTCGTGGAGCCTTCTCACCAGTTTTGATTTCTCCTCTGCCCTCCCCACAACTGAGTAGAGGCAAGTTCATCCCAAGCTCATGAAAGCTATCGGGCGATCATAGCCCAAACCCACCACCCTGAGAAGCAGGCCCCTCGCTCCGCCTGCTGAGCGCTGCTGCCCTCCTCTGATGCCCAAACAGGCGACTGATGATTGACGCCAGATCCCAAACGGGTGTGACGCCAGATCCCTAACCGGGTGTGACGCCAGCGCTCTGACACGGCTGCAGAGGGAGGAACACTTTGAAGCCAGATTCTGGGCCCTGCCCTTTAACTGGTTCAGCACACACCTCCCCGCTGCACACACGTTTCCCATGATCTCAAGGCACGTTTAAAAAGCTACATTAAAATCATAAAAAAAAAAACCCGAACAAAACCCCCACTCTCTTTTCTTCTCCCCACAGGTTTTGCAGTTCATGACTGATCAAATGCACGGTCATAGCATAGAACCGCTTATCGTAGTGCTAGGCTGGCTCAAGTCTCTCTGGCTGCAGGCTTCACGTGACACTCAGGCTTGCAAGATCACAATACAAAAAAGAAAATCATTTCAGAACCGTATTATTTTAAGGCAAAGATTTAAGACAGTTTTAAATAACAAGTTGTAGTGGAAGATAATTAAAAATAAGACACTTGTGGACTCACGCAAACAGAACTGCAGAATCCTAAGTACCAGACAAAACCCCCTCATAATTATTTCCCCTGTTCTCACCCAGAAACATTTCTGCTGCCACCCTCCCCAACCAATACTAAGTCCAAACAAACTCTGGAATTTGACTGAATTTATTTTGAGATCTAGGGGGAAGGAATGCATCGCACAGGAGTGTTGGTGAGAACCAAACAGAAATAAGCCAACCCCGTGAGGGCAAACTGCTAGGTGGGACTTCACGTTCTCTACCGTGCTAGATTATTCAGCTCAACTCTTAGTAAAAAAAAAAAAAAGTTAGTCAAAACTAATTAAAGAGAAACTCATGCTCTTACTATGGGTCTTCCCTTGATTTCGCACTTAGAGGTGTAATATAGGACAGAACTATTTTTGCAATGGATGAAAAAAAAAAAAGCTAGGTTTGAAGTCTTTCTACACCCTGGGTAAACACACGTGATGGCTCCTCAAAGCCGTCGCACCAAAGCAGGAGCCTGTGGCCCCCCGGGGAGGGCAGCTCCTCCTCGCAGGCTGCCCGCTGGCCACAGAGAAATCAGAAGACATTTTTGTAGCTATAAAGAAATTTATTCAGGGATGAGACTTTTCACTACTAGAAGCCAGACTCTAAGCTGGCTCTCGGGATCTAAGTCACACTTTTCTTTGGACAATAAATTTCAAGTCGCACTTACTGTCCTATTTTTCAAAAAGGAATGATGACGACAAAAAATAAACAAAAACTATTACCGAAATGCGTTAGTTTCAGCTGAAGCCATCTTCCATCAGAAACCATAGGATCTGATACAACGAAGTTCTCCCTAGGGATGCGTATGAGTAGCTCAGTGCTTTGTATACTAGGACTGCTGTATTTCATCTCCTATCAAAAAAAAAAAAAAAAAAAAAAAAGTTGTAACTGCATGTGCAGCCTCAGCTCTCAAACCACTGCCACATGCTTCACTGCTCACCCAGAGTCAGCCTCTCTTCCCTTGGGGAAAAAAAAAAAATAATAAAAAAAATAATGAAGAAAAAGAAAGTCAAACCCCCCAACAAAACATCACCAATGCCACGCTGGTTCAAAAGGAGGAAGTTCCTGCCGAGGGCTGACGGCGGGCCTGGGCTACTCCTTGGCGTCCTGCTCCTCTCCCTCCTGGGCACCGTCTTCACTGGCCTCCTTCTCCTCTTTGCTACGCTTGTTCTTTTTGTGCTTGTGGCGCCGGTGACTCTCCCCCTCCTCGCTCTCGTGTTGCTTGCTGCGGTGGGGAAGGAAGGGGAGAAGAAAGTTACACCAGAGCCCGCATGGGCACGGCTCTGCCCAAGAGACCCAAGGGCACGGACTGCGCGGCACGCGCGGGGAGAGCGTGCTTTGATTTACACTAACAGGAGAGGGATGAGAAGTGCTGAGGGCATCACGGTGCCACTGAAAGGCTCCATCGTGGTTATTCGGGAGGATCCGCCATCCCTTGTGGCTGACCCAAGGGCGGGTTATGCAAACCCCCGGAGGCGGTGGCTCTACACCACGTGCTGCGTCAGCACACGGCCGAGGCGGGCAGGATGCTAGGCAGACCGCTGTCAGAATCCTTTTTGTATTTTTTTTTTTTTTATAAGCACCACCTCTGCACCCTTCCCACTCCTAAGGGAGCTCTAACCATTGTGACACATCGCAAGCTTCAGTGGGAAGCACTGAGGCTGCTGAGAGAAGGAAGAAAAAGCCCCTGGCTTTGAGTAAGTTTTTGACTTGTTTAATAAATGGTTTCATAGTCATTAAAATGAAAAAAAGGGAAAAAAAAAAAAAAAAGGTGCTGCCTCTCTTCAACACATCTCCAGCCACCTTGTGGACAGCAATGCGGCAGTGGCTTATGCTTGAACAGCGTGACTGTCCTTTAATATTTAAACAAGCATCAGTGATTTCCTTCAGACTGGTCAATTTGCAGTAAACTAGAAACTACACGGAACCCCTTTCATCTTCCTGCAAATGTCTTAAGAGGCTCAAAGCGCCTCAAGCAGGGACTCAGGTATGCACTCCAAGTGGCCTTAAACAAGAAGTACTCCTCTGTTTGCTTCAGCTACCAAACACTTCCCTTCCTACCACTCTGAGCAAGACAGAGAGCATCGGTGTGTGGCTTAAGGAGCAGAGGAAGTCACCTCATTCCCAGCTCCTGCAGTAGCCCAGTTCCGTACATCGAGCTCTCGAGCAGGGGCTGACACTGCTTTGGTGTCTTTGTTCATGCCGTCAGGTACCCAACACTCAATTTCAATTCAGAGTAGAGGAAGCTGAGAAATAACCGTTAAAGCTACTGGTTTGTTAGTCTGGTATCACTTCAGCTTCCATTTATGTTCCAATTTTGATTGCGGTCCTGGCCTTTCTTCCCATCACTTTGCTTCCAACCCTTCAGCAACCAGGCCTTTTTCTTGAAAACTTACTCATCTCCTCAAGGATGAGAACAGCCTTTTGCCTCCCATCATTACATAGGAGTTTTTCTGGTAACAGTTTCAAAACAAGGGTAGTTACCTCCAGAGCTGACGTGGATTTCATCTAAAAGAAGGAAGCAAGTTGAAGCACCAAGAAACCAAACAAGTCTGTTCGAGTCCTTACCAGGATGTAAACTGACACGGCAACGGAGCGCTGCCTCGGACTGGGGACCAGACCTGTTACTTTGCTGGGAGAATCCTCTCATCTGTAGCAAATGCATTTTCTCCAGAAAAGCTGGGATTTTAGGACATCCTGCTTTGCTCCCAAAGTGTTTCACCTTTGTCCAGATCATCATCGACCTTGCCTAGAAGCACTGGGCCCAGAGCTCTGATCATGCAGTGCTCGGCCTGCTGCTCCAAGAGATTTCAGACTGAAGCAAGCTCTGCTCTTCTGCACAGGAACACGTCATACCGAAAGCTGATGCTTCTCTTATGGTTTTGCACTTTACTTTGTGTGTACTTCCCTAACAGCGGGAGCTACGCTGTTCTGACGTGATGTTTAGCACAGGTTAACCTCTCCTTCGTCAATCGGCGCTGCGATTTTGTTGGCAGTGATTTGACATCCCGCCAGCCGCCTCACTGAGAACTTACAAACACCAAGGACTCCTCTCCCTATTACAGGGAGCACTTTCTCTGCCTGGGCATCACATCTCAGGACATCAGCAGGTCACAGGAAGCCCGGATGACCCAGGGTAACAGTTCACTCTGAGAACATCAACCACCACCTCTGCACCTAAGCTGTGTTTCCCGTCACCGGCCCAGTTCAACCCTAGGCAGCTCTTACCGCCTCGAAGACTTATGCTTGCTGCTCTCCTCTTTGTCTCTGTGCCTGCGCTCTCGGTGACGATCCTCTCGCTCCCTGCTGCGATCTCGACTCCGGCGGTAGTCACGCTCGAAGTCGTAGCTGCGCTCTCGGCTGTAGTAGCGGTATCGTTCATCATCACTTAAGAAGAGAAAGGAGAAGTGAGGCAGAGGAACACGCCACTCGGGGACCTGAAACCCAGGAGCCAGGTTTACAGGACTGTAGAACCCCATCCTCACCAGCAAAATCCATCACCTCTTAACTCTATCAACAGGCTGCTCCTGACAAATCCTGTAAGGATGAGCTGCTGCTGCTTATGGAACCCAAGCTGCAACCCAATCCCCGTTTCTAACCACAGTGAAACAACTTTCTCCATTTGCCTGACATAGCTCATAAATCCAAATGGTTGAGTATCACGGCTTTCTCCCGGCCTCTCAAGGCAAAGGGTTTACAAAATCTGTTCCCTGGATTTGCCAAGGGAGTAGCACGTGGCCAACATCGCAGGGCTTTTGCCCTCACAGTCCTGGAATATGTCCAAGACATCCAGCCACCTTGTTCAAAACCAACACAAACGCGTTCCTCCCATCGTTCTGCCTGGATTTTGCCTCACAACACTACTGTCCCAGGTAACCTGCAATTCTTTTGCGTGAGTTAGACTAAGGGACTATTTTCTTCCCCACACGTTCGATAACTCCAACTGCGAGTACAGCTGACGTGGTCTTTCTGCCTACACCAAACTGGCTGCTCAAGGCACCTCATTCAATCCACATGCAGGAGTCGGCAAATTCAGACACATTCCCCACTCCCCTCTACATCTCATAGTCCCCATTCAGCTTCTGAAAGCCAAAATCTGAAGGTGTAACAAGCCCCACTGTGGGAAACAACACTCAGACTCTGAGAGAAAGGAAGTCTGAAACATCATCCTAACAGGGAAACAAGCTAGACAAATAGATGTCCACTATCACTCGAGTGTCTGGGAGTGCTCCAAAGGGCTCCACTGAGCACGGCTACTCGCCCAGGCATGATCTTAGAGGACAGCACGCTCGAGAGCCCCCAGAAACGTGCTCAGGAGTGCTGATCACAGGACTTGGCTGCAGGGTGAACCTGCTCAGGAAGCGCGCGGAGTCTGAGCTCTTCAAAGTGTGGCAAGTTTGGCTCTGTTCTGTTCCTCCCCCTTCCACCCACAGTGCCCACAAGCTTGTAAGGGGGTGTGTGTGGGGGAAAATTAGGAAAATGCTGCCCTATTTGCTCACCCCCTGGACCAGGATGTTCCCCGTCAGGCAGCACCCCTCTGCCAGGAACGCGCATTCTGATCATGTTTTGAAGGACTACTGGTATTTCTGAGCCTGAAGCCTGCAAAACACTGACGCTGCCTGTGACAGAACAAAAAAGCGATGGGTTCACAAAGCGTCTTTGCTGCCTAGCCTTCGCTTTAGCTCTCCAGATCAACGCTGGGAGGCTGAAAGCCTCCCTTCCCCAGTGCTCCCGGCACTGCTGTCGCCAGAGATGACACCAGTTCCCACCAAGGTGGCTGTCCCCAGCGCTGCTCGCAGAAACGCCTGGTTAAGGACTGACGTTTCATGGCTGACTCCTGGTGAATGGCACTCAAGCCTCTACGGGAGAGCTGAGCAAAGCATCGGTGGTTTTTCCTTTGATCTGACAGTTGCATTTAGAAGACAAGAAGCAGCAGCTTCTATGGCCAACGTTTCCAGACTGAGCTGTGAAATACCTAGTAGGCAGAGAGGGGCTGTTTCATTTACTGGCCTCACATTACAGGTGGGAGAGCGAGCGTAACTGGTTCTGCTGGATTTAAACAAAAAACAGACATGGGAAATCAGCCAGTGACACTGGCTCCTCGTTTGTCCTCTGGTGATTGATCCGAAATATCTCCTCCCCAGACATTTCAGAAAATTAAGATCCGAAATACCTCTTCCCCAGACATTTCAGAAAATTAAGCTGGTACAATCTATAATCCCACCCCTTGACCAACCGCCTTCTTGCGCTCCAGGGCAAGGCCAGAGCTCCCCGCTGGGCAGCTGTGAGCAGAAGTTGCCAAAAACCAGCACTCACTTGTTGTATTCACTAGTGGTTGGAGTGCGGTCTCGGTCTCTCTCCCTTTCTCTTTCCCGCTCGCGCTCCCGCTCCCTCTCGCGCCTCGAGCCGGAGTACTCCCAATGGCTGCTGCTGGAACTGCTTGTGCCTTTGTCCACCGTCGTCACCCAGGGCGTGTGGGATGTGGAGATGGGTGGGTAGCTGATGAAACCTGAATCTGCAGCGAGAGAGCACAATCCTTGTTCACCTGAAGCATTAACAGCATCCTCTCTGCCCTCCCGCTCCAAAGGTACCCTCTGGAAGTACAGCTCAATCCAAGGAGACAACAAAGGGCCCGGCTCCCTCCTGTCCTCGCTCTCCCTTTTTACTTTCAGCAGTTTGCTAAGGACACGTGAACACCTTTTTCCCTGAGGAAGACAGAAGCAAGACCAGATACTTTACAGACGTCGCTGCAAAATCCCCCCAGCCCCTTACACGGCACGTTACTGCAAGGGCTACGCATTCCCCCAGCTCTGGCTCTCTATAGGTCCTGCTGTATAGGGCACGCCGTAAGCTCTCCACTGAGAAAAGTTTCAGTCCATCCCTCCCAGACATCCTGGCTTCAAGGACAAAGGCACTTCCCCATCCAGGTGCTGGCCTGCGCAGCTGGACCAGCGAGGTCACACCCCGGAGCAGCACCGGCTGCCGAAAAGCTGCGCGCGTGGCAGCACTCGAGCCTCCCCTTTCTCAGGACGGCCTCCAGCCGCCTCCCGCAGAGGAGACAGCGAGGTGCTGCCTGGCGTTCTGTCCCTGCAGCCCAGCGAGGAGCTGCCACTCCGAGTGCTGGTCACTAAGGAAATGGAAGAGAAGGTGGGCATGGCTGGCAACACGGAGGGAAACCTGCTGAAGTCCCGGCACTACCTCTTCCCTCGCAGAAGGAGAGGAGCGAGCTGCCTGCAGGCAGGGCGGATGAGTGCATGGGGGAAGGGGGCACTGGAAAGCTTAGGGAGGAGATGCCAGGCTGATGGTTGTGCTTGTCCCTGAGGGTGGGGGAAAAGGAAGAGAGCGTGAGTGAGTGCGAGCAAGGATGTGTGCAAACAAGCACAAGGATGCGTTGCTGAGGCACATGGGGAAGCTCCTCTGTTGCTGGGCATCTGCACTGAAAACAGTGACCGAGGCTTAGCACTCAACTACAAAATCACGTTCATCGTTGCTGCAAAACATTCAGCTTTCCAAACACCAGCCGGTGTAGTCAAACTCGGCACTGTGTTTCTAGTGACTGGGATAGTTTGGGGCACAAGCAAGACCCTGCAGTTACCGCAAGCGCAATGTCCATCAGCTTATGAAAAGCCTAAGCTACCAAATACCAGAGAAGAGCGAGAAGCAGTTTGACTGTGTGTTATCTTCAGTGCTCACCTGCAGAGTTGTAGCCGAACGGAGGAGGCTGCCTATTGTTGTAGCTGGCTGGCTGGCTTTGGAGAGAGAAAAGGATGCGAGTTACTAACACCAGGGACCCCTTGCAGGTGTGTCTGTGCTGCACGCTTACCCCATTTTTTTTTTTCTGAAAGTCCGTGGAACATCCTCATGGGGAACTCACGGTTTCAGTGGATGTGTTTCACTTTGCACTGCAAACTCTCAGAAACGCATACAGGTGCAGCTGCTTTGCCACAGCCTCTGGAACCGCTGTAACTCAATTGCTTGCCCTGCTTTACCCCTCCCTTCTGTAGATCAGGCAGCTTCCTGGGAAATAACCCGTGCTTACAAAGCACCGGGGGAATCTTTCCAGAACACATCTGGAGAAACACAGCATGCTGTCATCTACCCTGCGCTAGACCCAAGCACACGCCGAGATTTTGCCGGCTCCTTCCTGTGCCAGGAACGTGACAAATCAAGGTAAATGCGCAGAGGATTCATTCCCTGGGGACTCTGCCCTCTGCCCCAGCCCTATCCATGGCCAGATGCACGGATTTCAGACGTCCTCCACCCTCCCTCTCGACGGAGGAGCTGTACCGATGGCTCAAGCCCAGGTGTGGTCTTACCCATCCAAGGTTGGAATGAGGAGAGCTGGTGGCGGCGCCAGAGGAGGCGGGAACAACCCTAGACACAGAAGCACAAGTCATCACAAAGACCTCGCAGCTTGCCATGAGCGAACAAGACTTCGTTGCTGTTTACAGTTAAAAGCCGTTAAAGCATCTCTTTTACTCTAAACAAGGCCCCGTTTGAAATGGAGTAATTTTCCTTCAGGGTTTTATCTCCTACCAAAATTAAAACCCTACAGCTGTGTTAGTTCTGTAGGGGTATGGAAATAAAAATAAAGGAAGAACAACCTTCTATTTTGGCTTATTCAACTTAAACGTAAGATTCATTAAGGAGTAAACATTAACCCTTCCAGTCCTCTGGAAGACAGAAAAGTCTGCTTCTTGGGATGCAGAGACGGTGCAACTACAGCAGAAGTTTTATTGCTCCATTGAGGAAAATGAGTAATTTTGTCTTTTACAAAGCACATAACATAGAAGCCACTTGTTTTGTTTTTAAAGAAAGCCAATTTTCTGAGCAGATATACACTTAAAAATCATGAGAAGACAGAGCACCAGCGACGCAGAGTTTTGTCTGAAAGGTCTGACACTTCAAAAATGGGCCCCACGTCAAACACATGAAGAATTACTGTACAAAAATCACAAAGCAGTATCTTCAAGAAAGCAGAATTAAGCAGAAGTTTATGAAGGCCACTTCCAGAAGTGCCATAAGCCAAAGTCCTCAACCTTGACCAATCTGAAAAAAAAGAGGTAGCCTGAAACCTCCAGCTCAGCTAGTGAAGATCTGTGCTACAAACAAGTTGGGGGACTCTTTGATGCCTTTTTTTTTTCCTCCTTTTCTAAGATCTCCCAATAAAATGCAATGCCCAGAGCATTTCAATCACACTTGCTCACCAAGCCCAGTACTTCAAAGTACTACTGTTAGAAGCACCTAACTCTAATGGTGGTGGACCATCATCATCATTATAATTAGCAGGTATTCTCCCTCATCTCCCTTTCCAAGCCAGTTACCTGAAGTGGAAGTTCTTTGCAACAGCCTGGTCATTTTGTCCACCTCGCTCCTCCCAAACAACTTTAATCTAAATGCACCTGACCAGCAACTGGGCGCCACGACGTCTACAATCAAGACCAGTTTGCATCCAGTTTCACTACAACATAGTTTGTCTAAATCCAAGCTTACTACAAGCGAGTTCCTTCTAGTGCAACAGTGAAAACCAGCTCTGCAATATTATTGTACATTGAGTATGAAAAGTGACATTTAAACAAACACAGGAATTTTCTCAGCTAGTGTAAGTTTTCCATGTTTCCATTCAGAAAGCCCAGGGCAGAGCACGAATACAAAAGCATGGACGCAAAAGCTGTGCATCAAGTCCTACCCGTCCAACGCACAGCGAGGACAAGCACATCAAGTCCAAAGCACTTTGGGTGCAGATCTTTTGCAAGTACGTCAATCAAGCACACAGTGCACCACAGAGGCAGCGGCCCGACTGCCTACACGCAGTCACCCTCAGCCTTGGATTTTCAGGTGTACGGCATCTACTCCAAAAGCTCTGCCGTGCAAACAGCTAAATTTTTCCCCAGACTAGGCAAAATCTCTAGCAGGAAAAAAAAAAATTACAGCTAGAGGAAACTCAGTTTTATCGTAGCTCTGAATTAGTGGGGTTCTTAAGTTAGGCACGAGATTGGTTGTTCCATTTCTTTATTAGTGTTCACCCCCTCTACTGCACAGCAGGGAGCAAAGGCTTCTGATGGAAACGGCGTTTGTCCTGCTCAGTCTCACACTCCAAATCCCTACAGAAAGCACCAATTTATCACTCGGACTTTTGCTGTGCAAATGCCATGACAGGAACTAAACCATTTCAAATCTCAGTGGGTGTTGCCATCTGATGTTCTCCATTTCACTTTCTAGATTAGTCCTCAGAGACAGAACAATTTCATATTAAGAAGCCCGACCGATTATTATTTAAGTCCAGAATATAAGATAAGCAGCTAGAGTTCCACGCTGCATTGGCATTTATTAGCCTTAAATTAACTGTGCTCGAAAATGGGCCTGGGTGCCATCGGGTCTCGTGTTACTTAATCCAAGTTATCACCTACCTGGAATAGGACCGGGTGGTGGCAGACCTGTGGAAAGAAAGCAGCAAGCAGAGCAAGTGAGGACAACAGGTAAAGCGCATCATCTCTGTACCTCAGCTAAACCTAAAAGCACACTTCTGAATACATTTCACATATTTGAGCAAACAGACCAGCAGAAAAATTGGTGCTATTAAGCGCTAAGTAGCCTACAAACGGCATCGTTTTCCCCAAACGATGATCTCTTTACCTTTACATTAGAATTTTAAATGTTGCTGCTCTCTTAAATCGGAGGATTCCTTTTTCCAAGTGTCACCACACAAACAATTGATTTGGCCTTCAGGACAGCTGAAGGAGCTGGAGAGGAGAACCTGCTGCAGGCACCAGGGTGTCCTTTTGCTTGTTTGTTGGGGTTTTTTTTTAAACTTTTTTAAAAAAATGTCAATCATAACTGCACAGTGAAATCAGACACCCTGGCCAACAACCAAAAGAACGAGCGAACAATTTATCTTGACTTTGCCAATCATTTTAATGAAAGGCAGTAGGAAAATCTACCGTGGTCCACCAGCGAGTACTGCAGTAATAAAGCCGCCTCAGATTAAAAGCCTTGACCGTATTTTTTTATTCTGCACGTGGAGCCAGTGCAAAACACAGGAGTTACTGCTCGATGCGCTCCTGGTGACTCCTCCGCAGTCTGGCTGCTGCCTGCAGGACCAGGGAAAGCCAGAGCGTGGCCTTCGCTTCAGCCTCGACGCGCCGTCTAAGCCAGAAGCAAGAGGGCACAGACATGACTCAGGCTGGGTCAGAAGATGCACGGACTTAGGAGGAAGTGAAGACAGACAAATGTGTCTTAGGCCGTGGCCAGTATGTCTGTAAACTTGCTCTAAAGGGTCCGCAGAAAAAAGAGCCTATGCCCCCTGGAACATTCTTTACATTTATCAATAAAGCAAACAGATCGGTAGCACCCGAAGGCGCTCTTGTGGAAACAAAGCCTAGACATTTTTTTAAAGAACAGCTGCTGTTTTTTAAGAATTCAAGGGCAAATGTTAAATAGGCTGATGGAGACACTGAACAAAGACTGGCCAGGTCTAAGGATCTGTTACCTGACTGCTCGACTCTCCCATAGCATTTAACGATTACACCTTTGATCTACTCCAAGCCTGGGATGTCCTAACTCGCAGCCTCAGACTGCCACGTGTTGCTGCACGAACACATACCTGGAGGATGCAGGGGAGGTGGAACAGAAGTAACTGGTGGAGGAGGGTGGAGGAAGTGTGGTGGAGGTGGCCCAGCCAGTGGGGGAGGCGGTGGGCCTGCTGGTGGTGCAAACGGCTGTTGCTGAGGTGGTTGTTGGGGCTGTGATGGCTGCTGGGGCTGCTGGGGGGGTTGTGGCTTACTTCCGTGGTCTCCAAGGACCTTAGAAGGCAGAGGAACGAGAAGAGAGCATTTTAATCTCTTTGCTCCTGCAGCTAGGACTGTGCTGGCATAAAGGCAGCGGCACCAAAACAAGCGGCACTGTGGTACCTGGAAAGACCAGGCTATGCTATACCCAGGGGATCATGTCTTCTGGGGAGGAGGGAAGGTTGATCAAAGCAAGGGAACTTCTCTTACGCAGAACAGCAGCAAGACTAGGCTCTAGCTGTATGTCCAACTGCGCAAGACAGCTGACAGCTCCGTGTTATGACGACCTTTTGTTCATGGGAACTGCCACCGATACAGGCTTCAGATTAAAAGCTGCCAGTTTGTTGGGTATTTTTTAACCCAATTTATCTTTCCTGAGGGCAGCAACAGGCCAAATTCTGCAATCTATTGCACCCACATAGGTCAAAGGAAGGCTGGATTCACATCTGTCTGACAAAAGCAGGTCACATACCCACTACTGCTGAAGGCACGATCAATACGCAGAGATACCAGAATGACCTGGAAATACAGGTATCAATGCTTGTAAGTGGGAGGAACAACAACCATTTCCCAGCAAATTCTTTCTCTCAGGCAAACTCTTTTTTGGGCTATTGTTGGCAAAATTTGGAAAACTGACCACTAAAAAAATAAACAGACCACAAAATCACATGTAAAAACAAAACCAGGAATTGCACTTAGACAGGGGAAAGCTTCCATATTTTTTTTTGGGGGGGGGGGGGGAGGGGCGCGACGGAG